TTGTTGTTGATAACAGTCTGGGTGATAATGTTCTTCTTTGGTCTGGAGCACACGGCGTCCATTTGACCACAGTATACATTTCCACTGTTTGATGGCACATTCCAGTTGCCTGGTCATCGGTGCTTCAGGACACTGTTAACATAGGGCTTTCTTTTGGCACAGTAGAGTTTTAACTGGCATTTGTGGATGTAACTACATAATGTACTTGACAAAGGTTTGCCAAAGCAGTCCTGAACCCATGTGGTGATATAGCTTATGGATAAATGACAATTCTTGATGCAGTGCTGCCTGAGGGATCGTAAATCATGGTAGTTTAGCTTAGGCTTGCTCCCTTGTCCTTTACAACGTAACACTGAACATATTCCAGATTCCTTGAATCTTTTAATTATGTTATGCACTGTTGAAGTCCAAATATCCACATGTCTTTCAAATGACTTTCTTTTAGGAGCATTGTTTTTAACATTTCAATAATTATCTTTCTTGGATGCTGCTTTTGTACCAAATCATAATTACTTATTACCTGTTGATATTACCTGGTTGAAATCACATTATCATTTAACCAAATTACCTGATTATTAGGCTATATCAGGCTATTAGTTCTTGGTAAATATATCCTAATATTAAGCGATTGCTTAAAAAAAAAGCAATCTTTCTTTCTTTCTTTCTTTCTTTCTTTCTTTCTTTCTTTGTGTCTACTTACATGTACTATTGCACAATTAGTAAATTTGCATTTTGCCACAGACATTTTCTTTACCTGACTCATAAATACAATCCCGTATACAACAGGATAAAAAAAGCCATCTGTTAGCCCTGAGAAAGCCCGATTAGAACCCGTAAGTGGCGAAACACCACAGATTGCATGCATTAGAACATAATATTGATATGCTCGTGGGAAAGTGTGCAAACTAACCAAAATGAACATATGTAGAGATTTGTCCATCACAAAGTTGTTGTTTTGTTTTTTTTTTTTTGTTTATTGCTGGGAAGAGTTTTGGTGGGCTTGACTCATCAATGTCTGTCCTTGTAGGCCTTTGTTGAGGTCCTGTTTTGTGAATAACAACTATATAGTCTGGAAGTGTTCAGATTAAGTATTCATTGAAGGTACTGCAGGGTGTTTTAAAATACAACTGGTCTGAGGGCGGCTTACATTCAGTGAAGTTCATGTTAGGCTTGCTACTATTAGTTTTCTTTTATTTCACTGCTGAGGGCAATTGATTTTGTTGCAGTATGAAAGCTGCCATTGCAGATATTGATTTTTGTAGTAAAGTACCATGATAGGAGATAAGTAATCATTGCAGGCCTCATCTGATGTCTGGATAGTTATAAATGCTTCATCTTGAAAGTGTGCACACACACATGTTCAGTTTGGGCAATAGGAGCCATATTTTTAGTGCATTTTTTATATGGCACAAGTGTTTGATCATTTTTTCAGTAGTTTAACCTAGCATGTAGCACCCAACCAGTTTACCTGAGATCTTCTGAAAGTTAATTGCATATTCATATATCGTGATCTGTCATATCTCCAACATAGGCATAAAATAAATGCACCGCAGTATGCAATACAAGTTTATAGTAACCTAAGGGAAGGTCAGATGGAGAGTCTGTTGTCCTTAAAGAATTTACATTTCAAATATCTGCTTTAACATTTTTTTTTTACAAATTCTTAATAAAAATGTGAAGTTCATTATTATGTTTCCTTAATCTCCTTAATTTGTTAAAAAAAAAAAAACAGTGTGATATCTTTCTGAGAATCCACTTAAAGGCATAATAGATCCTATGCAATGAGTTAATGGCACAATCGTTATATTTTGTCGCTAATACCTGAGAACTTACATGGTAACTAGATGTGTAAGTACTATGTAACTACAGTGTATATACACACTGCTACAGGTATTTACTTGTGTAATACTGGTGTGACTACACACATGTAACAACCCACTGAATAATATGTGTAAGTTCAAATGTGTAACAGGGCATTGGTAACAACACTAAAAAATTACACATCTGTAACAAAAATTACATAGTTGCATTGTGTAACAATATGTAAGATACATAAGAATGGCAGAACTAATGCTGAATTAGAAGGTTTCACCTTGTGATACCAGTGTAATTGCAGGGTAAATTCTCAGAAACTGTTCACTCAATATTAAGTGTAAAATTGTCACAAATTACTGTATAATCTATAAAACCTAAGCCTTTGTGCAACTGTTTAACAACAGCAAACTTCCCCCAAAAAAGTATAAGCTTATATAGAAATATACAAATGCCTTGTTTTAAGGTGAATTGTAGAATCTTGAATTTTGGTTCGGTACGCATTACAAATTGAACGATTCGATTCAGACTAACATATAAAAAGAAAAATGCGAATAAGTACAAAATATAATGTTTTTAGTGCAACAATGCTCAACATGGCATCCCACAACATGCTGCCTTCCCCGCTGTCATGTTAAACAGTAGACCATCGCTTTTGAACTCAGAATATCACTTTATTAAAGCATGCATACATTAGCAATCTAGCTGTCTTCTGTGTCAGCCTGCTTGTGCTGGCTCCGCCCCAGTGCCCCAGCAACCCTGTACACCGACACAAAACAGCCAATCTCAATAAACTGTTCATATATCAGCACCACATACGCCCATCTCCAACACTACTCCAGTCAGGCACGCGCTGAATTAGCTCACAAAATGGCTTACGTTAATGTAATTCCAGAATTCCCAAGTCTCTCAGAAGTTTCGGAAATCTGCTGGAGGCCCTCAAAGGAATGATAATCTTTCGAAAATCGTGCGCCTCCCCCCGGTCCTTAAATATGTCGCACACCCCTCTCCACCACATCCCTCCCAGCTCTTCAGGTATGCTGGGCACAACTCACCCCCGCCGCTCAGGTACATCACACGCCCTCACCGCTCTTCAGATACGTCGCGCACCATCACCGCAACCAAGGGAGTGGTGGAAAAAAATCAACATCTGCCATGACAGTAAGCTATTTTAGCGGTAATGTTTGAGAATTTTAGCTCATTTACACTGACATCACGGAATCAGTAACTAAAACTGGAACAGCATTTAGACAAGCAATTCCTACAGATTCAAACAGGGCAAAACAAATCACAGAGGCAATCGGTACATTTATAACTGTGGATATGAGAGACCTTAATCGGTAATGGAAATTTCAGGTTTTAAGAAAAGGTCAAATGTAATAGAGCCCTGTTACATTATTCCTTCATAAGCCCATTTCAGTCAGATAATTCCTGCTTTCGGATCCACTAAAATGGCGGCTGATAGTCAAATCAAGTGGATCTGTGCTGTCTGAAGAAAAGGTGGACACTCATCTCTCTGAAAAAAAACGTAAAAATTAAATGAAACTAAGGTCCATATAAAAACTAAATTGTTATTTTATTTTTATTTGTTTAACTACTACAATATCATATTATTTTTTATAAGCATTTTTTTTTATTTGCTGCTAAGCAGAAACCCCAGAAGTTTAGCTCAATCACAGTTTAAAGAAAACAAAAACACACACACAAAAAACACACACACAATACATATATTAGGGGTGTAACGGTACACAAAAATCATGATTCAGAGGATTACAAGATGTAAAGTATAAATTTTTTTAACGTAATAAAACTAACATATATATATATGAACAGTTGAATATACAGTTGAAGTCAAAATTATTAACCCCCTATCAAATTATTTTTTCTTTTTTTAAATATTTATGCAAGGGAATTTTCACAGTATGTTTGATAATATTTTTTTTCTTCAGGAGAAAGTTTTATTTGTTTTATTTCGGCTAGAATAAAAGCAGTTTTGAATTTTTTTAAAAACAATTTTAAGGTAAAAAGTATTAGCCCCTTTAAGCTATATGTTTTTTTGGTAGTCTATGGAACAAACCACTGTTATACAATAACTTGCCTAATTACCATAACCTGCCTAGTAAATCTAATTAACCTAGTTAAGCCTTTAAATGTCACTTTAAGCTGTATAGAAGTGTCTTGAAAAAAATCAAAAAAAAAAAAAGCAATATTTTGCTTCTGCTTTAGTTATTCAGTATTAGAAACAAGCCAACATTTTTTTGCAAGTGTGTGTGTGTGTGTGTGTGTGTGTGTGTGTGTGTGTGTGGGTGTGTGTGTGTGTGTGTGTGTGTGTGTGTGTGTGTGTGTGTGTGTGTGTGTGTGTGTGTGTGTGTTTGCTTCTTGACTTTCTCATATGTCTATGATTGTAACATTAGTTATTTTTGAAAATTTTCCAAACATTTTCAGAATTTTCAGCAATGTCTAGTGCTGGTAATGATTACAGACAATCTATTTAATTATTTTTTTTGCCCCTTATTCATTAATTCCTCAATTCTTAATAATAAAAAAACAACACGTATTTGGCTTTCCTTATCCTATGTCATGTTATCCCACAATGCAGTTCTGCTTAAAAAAAACTAAACAATATTAGTTGAATAGGGGCTGTTTAAGACTACAACAACAACAACAGAATCCTCAGCAGACTGAGTGTCAGTCATCATCTCAAGAAAATATACAAAAGCTTTGTGGGTAGCACTGAGAATTCCTGGCCGTCTCTGTCTGATTAAAATATGATGTGTTGAAAGCTGGCTTTGATCTTAGGAAATGTCTGCGAGGGTAGCAGTTAGTATTTAGCTTGGCCTTTTTCCCTTCCCGCTCATTCTGTGATTTGGCCCTGCAGATGGAGGCCGATAGATAGTGTCACCATTCATTTCCTGCTCAAGCTCCTACACCATTCTGTGCAGTTGCTAGACCTGGAGCAGGGATCCAGAATGAATAGATCACATGCCGAGCTTTTGTGGCTTGCGCGAAGCTCTGTTTTCTTTTATGCTTCCCTCTAAATGTGTGCATGTACATACAGAGTTAATATGACATTTTGCAAATAAACCCAAAGACTTGGAAGATCTCACTCTGCTGAATGAGTGGAAGAAATCACTGTATGAAAAAGAATCCTAAGGTGCTTAAATGCTTTTCTTCATCTCTGATTCCAGGCCTCCTGCACTGGCAGCAAGCCCGACATTTTCTGATATCTCCCTCATCCGGATCTCACCGCACCGGAACCCTTCAATGGGGACAGACTCACCCTTTAACCCTTCACATCCTTACATTAACCCCTACATGGACTACATACGCTCCTTGCACAGCAGTCCCTCTTTGTCCATGGTTTCTGCAGCCAGAGGCCTTAGTCCTGCAGATAGTGAGTACCTTCAAGACTTTTTTTTTACCCTCTAAATTCCTTCTAATTTTCTAAATATTTCTGGTTATCATTATGTCTGTAATTTTATCTAATTATGGGTTTGACATTCTAGGTATGTGGCAAAGTGTATCTCTCATTTAGCATTTGAATCAGTTTACTTCTTTTTGACACTTCAGCAAACTGTACCGTACCACTTTTTGGGTAACCTTTGCAAAGAGTACCTAACACAACAAAAGGGTACCAAAACGCTATTGGTTAACAGAGATACATCACTCACTCGTGCAACAAGTCAGAATGAAAACAAAGGAAACCGCCATGTTTTAGATACACAGCCCAGACATTACACTGTAATAATATATGCATATAATAACGTGCCACGGTCGACCCTAGATCAAGCAAACCTTGTCGTCATCTTGATGAACAGCCACAAAGCCAAGAAGAAGAGTGGAAACTGCCCTGTGCCCCGCAGTTTCGCTTTCTTACGCTTTCTCAGCTGATGATAATGCTTCTGACATCCGATCCTGTCAGAAACGAACAAACGCAAAACTGATGTGCGAAAAAGTAAAGGAGAAGCTGGAAAAAACAAAGGAGCAAATGATTGTTTCAGCAACCTGTAACATAAACAAACTGCCATGTTTAATTATTATCATCATCTTTTAGACTATTATAAACTCGGAATGACAGAATTACTCTCTAACAGAGGTTACATGTGATAGCGAAGATTAAAGATGAGCGGTTTGCACCTTCTGTCGTATACCACACCCACCAAAAGAGTACTATTGGAACCCTTTTAGCAGTGGAAACACAAGCCTGATAAAGGTGACCCATCAGACCCGTACCGTGCCATACCAGTCAGTGGAAATGGGCCATATTATCATCAGACCTCTGGAGGAACATTCAATGTATCAGATGAGTCTACTGATCAAATCCCATGATAAGAGGGGTAAAGCTTGAGGTCATTATAGGGTAGAGGGCATGAGAAGGAAGGGAAGAAAAAAGTAGAAATGGTTTGTGCAGGAATCCATTTTAGTTTCTTGTATGAAGTTGGACTGGGAAATTCATTACAGGGTCATCAGGGCTTGCTGAAAGAAAAGATATCTGCAGAATACCAGCCTCATATACATCTCAAGCAAGGATTTTTAATTGAAGCCTTAAGCTCAAATACCAAAGTGGGACAATCAGAGGGCTCTCTCAGAGGCCGCAGATAACTGCAGCTGCATCAAATAGTAGGGTCATTTCACACCAGCTAAATTTTGCTATATACTGTACCATATTTGTCAAAGGAAGACCATGACCTCAACCAGTCCAAGGTGGATAGTTATTAATGCTTAAATTAAATTTGTAGATTTTTTATATTTTTGTGACCTGTTGTGATGTGTGGGAGAATGTCTATATTATCTTTATCCAACTAAAAAAACAACAAAGAACAGTATTCAAACTACACAAAAGTCACACTTAATGAATGATTGATAAATAAAAGTTCAGTTTAATTGTTGAATTTAATTATAAATGCTCAAGAACCAAAATTAATCATATGGATAATGGTGTCCCAAGCTTCCATTTTAACAAGTAAAACTATGTTTTGAACAATCAACTATATCAAACTCAGCTTCAGTTAGCAGAACCAGCAAAAAATCAAATAAATAAAAAATCAAATAAATAAATTGTGCTGGTTTACGCTGGTTATTTGTTAAGTAAAATGAATAACCATCATAAACAAAAGAAATAACAGCCTAAAGCAGCATTATTTATTTATTTATTTATTTATTTATTTATTTATTTATTTATTTATTTATTTATTTATTTATTTATTTATTTGTTTGTTTGTTTGTTTGTTTGTTTGTTTGTTTGTTTATTTGTTATGTCTGTGTGTGCATGCATGCGTGTTTATTTGAGCAACAAACTGCATATATGTATCTTATACTTGTTTTCCAGCCATTATGAATCCCTGTTTTATGCATTGTCCCAGATTGCAACATGCTCCAACAGCAAAATGCCTCCTGGCTCTGGTGGCACATCATGTTGTGGGTGAATATACATAAAAAGTAAATAAATAAATAAAAAGCCACTCTAATATCCCATAAGCAGAATGCTGAAGTCCCTGCCTTTCCCCATCGACAATCCTGAAATTTGATGCCAACATCTCCCATTTAGAAATTCCACTAAGCTCTTTTTGCACATGAACAGAGAAACGAGGCACATTACTGCTCAATGCGAGAGCCGCAGCAGGGCGGAACAACAGAGACAATTAAAGAAGCTCTCTAACCCCTCCCTCACTACTTAAGACATAATACCCACATCGAATTAATTTGGAATTTCTTCCTAGGTTCACACAACCAATCAGAGATGCATTTTTCATGCATTCAGTCCAGGCCTCAGTTGACATCTTTTCATCTGCTCCTTTTATTTCTTCTGGAGAAGACAGGAATTAGACATAACACTTTGTGCAGCTAAACTGATTTTAAATTTGCATTGAGAAGCTGTGTCAGTCTTGTGTACTTTCTCTTGTTACTTTGCATCTTCTGCATACATACATACATACATACATACATACATACATACATACATACATACATACATACATACATATATATATATATATATATATATATATATATATATATATATATATATATATATATATATAACATATATATATATATATATATATATATATATATATATATATATATATATATATATTGTTAACAAATAGTTTTACTGCAGTATTGCTTTAAAAAAATGCAGTTATTTATTCTAAATATGTAGTTTTATACTTTACTAAAGTACTGTGAATGTACAATGTGGATAAATAGCATGCAATATCAGCAAATATATTAGCAAACTGTTTAGATAATTAAAATGAAAAGCTATTATAAAGAAATCAAGTTATCGAATCTTATTAACCTTTTCTTCACTGTATAACTGTTATTAAAGAGCTATGAATGAATCTCATTTATTTAGATTTTTCATTTGATTACATTAAATAACAGAGGTGTCACTAAAAATGCACACAACTAACGTTATAATGAAAGCATTCGATTGCTTTCCTAACAGTTTTGCTCATTTAGGACAAAATTACTTATTTAAAATTACTTGTGTTTAAAAAAAAAAAAAAATTAATTATGTGTATATGTCTATTCAAACACGCACCCAAAACCCAGACTTTTGCTCTGCTTTAAATTGCGTGTACAAAATACGTTTGGGAAACAGTGTCTATTTATCACTGCGAAGAGTGTCAACTAAAAGTCCCACACTGCTATATGACTGTTTTTAAGGCTGCATAGGAGGGGCAGCAACACCTGTAATAAAAAGGAAGGGAATCTTACCGTTTTTATATTTTTTTTCAAAGTGTTTTCATGCCAAAATAAAGCGAAAGCACAGAGCAGACTCACATTTAGGAGCAAGGGGCTGCCCCTGGTGGTTCGGCAGTATGGGTGGTGTATAGAGGAAGATCTGCTCTTTAGTGTTTACTGCCACCTTTCAGACTGAAAATACCAACACAATCTCATGGCAATTCGTAACTTTTTGATTTAGTGGCTAATTCGTTTGAATTTGTACGATCTAATTTGTACAATTTAGTACGATTTGCTCATCCCCCAATGACGGTTGGGTTTAGGGGTGGGGTTAGGTGCCACGCCTCCTTTTTAAAATCATACAATTTCGTTCAACTGAACTTGTACGAATTAACAACTAAACTGGCAAATTGTAAAATATTTACGGTTTCTTGTGAGATCAGGCTGGAAAATACAGGAGAATTACCAGAAAATATCTTTACGGGATGATAGTGGGATAGAACTGTAAAATATGGGAGAATCCTGTGAAAAACAGGATGGTATGACTAGTATTCTCTACACTTTCAAAAAAAAATGGTACAACGTTGTACTAAAGAAGGTATACACTCTTGTCACTGAGGCAGTATCTTTTTATGGAACAGAATTATACCTTAAGGCAAAGAAACTAATTTGTACCATTGCAGTTTGTACCATTAAGGACATGATTTGTACCACAGGAAACCAAAATGTACCTTTGATTTTTAAAACTTGCAGATACAATATTGTACCTTCATCAAAGGTACAAATCTGATCCATTAAGGTACAATAACAGGAACAAGACACTTTGTACCTTAACAATGTCTAATGTGTTTCTTCAAGAACTATTTAAAAGCATTTTGCTTCATCCAAATGCTTTATCAATTTATTTTCAGTAAATTTAAAACTTTAAATACATTTTTAAACTGTATTTTTTTATTGTGTAAATGCATCTTTTCATTGACAATAAAGAATAATAAATATTTATAAATAATAATAATAATAATATTCTAAAGATCTATTTTTTGCTTAACATTTCACATCACTGTTACACAATGTTACAGAAATGCATTTTCCCATGTACAAAAAAATAATAATAATAAATCTCCAATGTTTATACAATACCTTTATGATCACTTAAAAGTAAATTTAATTTACTTAATTTTTAAATAGAAATAAAATTGTGCAAAAGGTTTGTAACAAGATATGCACAATGTTTGATTAGTTTTAAAATACTAAAATGTCTGCATAAACTCTTTGCATATGCAGGATGTTTTCCAGCTCACATGCGTAGTGAAAAGCAAACGCCAAAAGCTGCGGATATCAATAATGAAAATGTATTTATCAGAAAATGCTAACCACATGTTCATTAAAAATGCCTTAAATATTTAGTTTACAATACCCATAGTTTTGTTTTACCAGTTGTTTTGTATTATAGATCTTAATAATTAATGTTTGAGTTTTTTAAACATGCATTTAATGATGATTCTTTTAATATAGAACTTATTCATAAAATCACTTTGCCTTTCCAGTAATATTTATTTTCATAGATATTGTATAAATAAAGGAGTTGTCCAACACTTATGTATCTTTTTATGAAAACAATTGTGTTCCTTTATTTCAGTTGTACCATAAAAAATGCAGAACAGTATCATAAGAGATATTTTCTGTACCATATAAGGTACAACT